TGTAGGGAATCATTACAGCCAAAGCTGATCATTTAAATACTGTATTGTAACTCAGTGGTCAGAGAGTGAATGAATAACCTTTTTTCTGAAATGTCACTTTGTAGTCAGTGATTCAGAAGCTACTATTAGAATTAATCTGCTTTTCTCTAATTTCCATGTCTTACTGCCAGGAGTGAGAGTTTGTACGTTTGTCCAGCTGTTAACTGCTTTGACACTCTGGGATTTAGGTGACCCTGTAAATGCTAGTGTGCATATGCATGGGGACACTGCCCTTGCATTCAGGGGTTTGTGAGCTATTTTATTGTTCTAAGCTATTGCATATGTGTTTTGGTTATCTCTAGTTCCAAATTTTATGTGTGAAGGTATATTCAGAGGTATTCATATTATGTGCCATTTTGCAGCTTCAGCCAAACAGTGCATCTGGAAGTGGTGCTTTGGAACATGACCCATCTTCTATTTATTTGCGGATCCCTGCTGGTGAAGCTGTACCTGGTCCCCTTCCTTTAGGAGTATCTGTCATCGATGCATCCGTGGCTCTCTTTGGTGTGGTTTTTCCTCATGTCTCTTACAAACATAGGTCAGTTTACATCAGTGTTCGGTTTCAGAATCTCATGCCTTGTTCTTTGGATGGCTTTATGTTTGATTCTTTTTTTTCTTGAAATAAGAATCTACTTTGATATCAACTGTCTTTGGATTCAGCGTTCAGTATTTGGTGTTCATTGTGTCTCAGGGTTCCAGAATATGTCTACTCAGTTTAGAAATAAGGTGATTTCCCCAGTTTTATCAGTTTGAAGATTAGGGCTCAGAGGTAGAGACTGGATTCTTCTCTCGTCTTACTGCATTTAACAGTAGTAATTTCCTGCAAAAATATCCATTGCAATTAACTTCAAATCAGCCTTGAAAACATAGCAGTGACATCCATTGAATTTAATTTCATGAGTAAGACCATTTGATTTATACTCAGCAAACTATTTTATGAAAAAGTGGGAATGGAATTCAACTTATTTTCCATTGTGTTCCACATTGCCTTTGCAGAGTTGTGAGTTGTCAGGACTACTTTTGTCATTCAGTTTAGCTAATTTGTCACCGAGCACAGAGTGAAAGCAGCTCTAAGATGCATTTCAAAGTAAAATTATCCTTCAGTTCAGTCCTGATGGGAACAGTTTTTTTTCCTAGCAGTCAGTCTCATTTTGCAGTAAGCACAGGATAGGCTTGAGGCCAGCTTGCAGTAATTCAGCTTGATCTGTATCTGTTGTTAGCTATGGAGAGATGTGGCTGGGGATCTGCCGAGTAGTTAAGAATGCAGATTATTTGTTATACTCCTGTTCTTAATATCTTCTAGGGAGTACTCTTCCTCCCAGTAACACTTTCTGACATGGTTAAATAGGGGGAAAATGGAGGTTAAATGGGCAAAACAATAATAGGAATATGAAGGGTAACGCTATTTTGCATGGTAGTGGAGAAGCAGCATTTTTCTACTCTTGTACTCATAGCTTTCTAGTTATATGGCCAAATGTACCTGAACTCGCTTCCTCTTGGTGGTGTTTTCTTCAAAAGGAATACTAAATATTTGCGGATGAGCTAAAAGAACCAGCAAAGGGATGTTCAGAATAACTCTGCCCTCTATACCTAAAGCAAATGCCTTCTGCAGCCCTGGAAGCATAAATTCCATGACTGAACTTAAGAGGCCTTTTGTAGTGGTGGTTTTTTTTACCAGCTGTGTTTTAGTTTGTGTTTTGACAGAATATCACTTTAATTACGTTCTTTCCTTTGTTTTAGATTACAGATGTTGGATCACTTTGCTGAATGTGTCAAGCAGGCTAAAGGTGTTCGCCAGCAAGCTGTGCAGCTTAATATCTTTACTGCTGTTCTTAGTGCCTTGAAGGTAAAACTTGTAAACTTGTAATGGATGCCAGAGTTAAGCAGTTTGATTCATTGATTTGTATTCAGTACAAAAGGCTGTTAGAAGAACATTGCTAAAGTTACCACTTAAACATTTAAAAGTTTGAAAATACCAAAATTGACTTTGTTTCACATACTAGCATGAGCTCTTGTTTGTATGTATCAGTACGGAGAACTACAAGGCTCATGTAATCAGCATTCTATAACATTCAGACTGTCTTTTTTGGTTTTTTTTTTCCTTTTTCAATGTTGTAATTTTATTTGCACTGTACTCATGGATTTAAGTACTTTGTGATGTATACTCAAAAAACCCCTCATGGAAATAAAGATAGATTTGGGGTTCCATTTTGGGTATCTTAATTTTTACTTTTTAAGACTCCCTAGTATTGCATAGAATTCTAGATGCTTATGTCCAGTCCCACTGACTTCAGTTACAGCTCTTGTGTTCTCTATCTACACTTGGAAATCCAGCCTTATGTTATCAAGTCAGGAAGCTAGACAGCAAATCACAAACAATATTCCTGAGAAATACTTGGTTTCAGTGACTTGCATTGCCTCAAGGCTTTGTGGAACAGTGTCTTAGAGCGTAGGACTTTCTTTCTACTAGCCAAAGTCATTTCTAGTTTTTTCCTGATGCTGTTTTATATAGTTTCCAGTTCATGAGTCTGTCAGACAACATCTGTCATTGTCATCCTTGTTCATCTTCAGAGCAACTAAGTCTCATGCACTGAGGAAGCTGCCCTCATAGAAGTGCCAGCCTGTAACTAAAGATTGGATGAGTTTCTTCTTGTCTCACTTTTGCCATACAAAAAATGGCCCTCCTGTTTAAGCTAATTGTTACTGGGGCTCCATGTCCTTTGTTGATGAGCAAAATACGTTGGCAAAATGGCACCTCTCTTCCTTGCTTTGTGCTGTGTTCTAAGAAACGTGAACCATGTTGCTACAAGTCGAAAAGTAGATTCTGAGACAGATACTGGAATTTCCCATGCCATGCCAAATGGCCAAAGAATTGTCAAGATTAAGCTGAAATGAGGGTTTCAGAACAGAAAATGAGAATCTGGGCTAGAGCCATCAACTTCTTCCTCTATAATGCATGCAGTGTTTGTACTTTACATGTGTTTAATTATTTTTCCCAAAGTAAAAGACATTCTTGAAATTTGTAGTGAAAGGTCTTGAAAGTTGTAGTGAAAGGTGATGTACTATTAATGAAATATGGGAGCCAAAGAAGCTGCAGAAGCAGTGTTTAGTGTTGTTGTTCTGTGGAATGTTCATATAACGGGCTGTGTAAATGTTTGCAAAGACGTGATTATTAAGAAGAAAAAATTTCATGCACCTAAAATGTCTTCGATTTAAGTGATTGTTGCTGAAACATAACTGAGCTGTGGTTTTCCTGTCTGACAGAAAGAGATGTTGCAGTAAGATTTTGAAGCTTCCCTTTTGTTCCGGGGTATCCTGTGTAAAGCTAGCTCAGATTCAGTAGCACTAGGGTGCATGTAGCATTGTAATGCATTTGATGAAAAAGGCTGGTGCAACAGGTCTTCCTGTGTGTGAAACGGGTACAGTGTTGGCAGACATGAGACTGAGTATCGTGTTGTTTCTAAGTTTCAAATATTTTCAACCAGTATATTTTACTATAAATGACCACAAATTTAAACAAAAGTGCATAATTTTTAATTGAAGATCTCAAACATAGTAAAATTGCTCTTATGTCTTCCCTTTCTCCCCTGCTTTGGACTGGTTTTTTCATATTTTTTTCATGTAGGGTTTAGCTGAGAATAAAAGCACGTTAGGACCAGAAGAAGTCCGCAAATCTGCTCTGACGCTGGTAATGGGTGCCCTTGATAATCCTAACCCTATTTTGAGATGTGCAGCAGGCGAAGCTCTTGGCAGAATGGCTCAAGTGGTTGGAGAGGCCTCTTTCATTGCTAGAATGGCTCAGTACAGTTTTGATAAGTAAGTTGGTTTTTTCAGGAAAGGAAATGAAAATACAATGTAACGTAATTTGGAAGATTTCTCTACTAAATTGATTATTCTCTTCTCATGTTTGATTGCTATGATTATGTAGCCCCAACAAACCTTCAAACAGAGTCTTCTCTCTTTGATTTATTTCATGAGATTCTTCCAGGAATAAAAGCTGAGTTATTAAACTACTTGGAATGTGAAATTATACCATTGAATAGCTTTTGATGAGTTACTTGAAGGTGACTGAACTGCTTCAGATAGATAAACACGGCTTAGACTAAGTGTGTCTGTAATATGAATTGTGTGATAGCGGTTCTGTTTCATCAAAACATCCTCTTTACATAATGATTTAACTTACCTACTGGCCCATAATTTTTTTCCATATTCTGTTGTTAATCTCAGGTCTTTAGAAAGATGTCTGGTAAATAAAGCAAGACAATGTGTTTCTCAATATTTGGCTTAAATTTAGGACATCAGCCTTTCTGAATCAGAATGCACCTGCCTCAGCCCATGTTTTTGGCTGGCCAGGCTGCATGCATATACCCTTAGTCCAGCTCTCCTACCTTTGGCTAATTCAATCTTTCCCATAATTTCATCTTGTAATAAAACACAGCATCTTTACTGTCTTTTCTTGAATTTCTATTACTGGGACTATTTCCTTGGTTTCTTATGCAGGATTCAAGTTGCTAACGGTGGCCAGTCTGTTGACACTGTCAAGTAATTTTTTTATATTTGAGATTTCCATTTACTTTGTTCACTGATGGCTAAGAGCATGTTTGCCTCTCATATATAGACAACCAGGAAGAAAACATTTTTCTTTGTTCTAGTTAGGATATCCTTCTTTTCTCTCTCTTCCCCACCCCCCAAAAAGATTTTAATTAAAATGTTACATATGTGATGTGCATTCAGAAGCAGAAGTATTGTGCAAAACACTCAACACGTCGCTGCTTCAAACAACTAGGTCATTTAGAACGCTATTCATTCTGTTTTAGTTTCATTAATAAAACACTACTAAAAAAAAACTTTATTAGAAAAGTCATAGAACTCAGCTGCAGAAGAAAACAGCTGTATTTAAAAGGTATTCAGTTGACTTTGCAGTGGAAGACGTGGCTATGGATTTCTTTATAATTTTTCAATGTGTTGTCATTTTTCCATTCTTGGTTCCTTTTTACTGCAGTGGTCTAGTAATGATTTTTCTGATTATTAAATTAGTCTGCTGTGAAACATTGGTAAACGCTAGCTGCGTTTCCTATATTCTTACACTTCCCAAACTCTTCTTTGTCTAAAATGTCAGGATCTAATCCACTTTAATATCAATAGAGGTTAAGTACATTGTTTTTGCCTTTGTTGTTAAGGCTTCTCATGATCTTGTAAGGTGGCCTGCAAAATTCTGTTAGTTGTTTGCACTGTTATGGTACTTGAAGGGTTCTTTGTAACAAACTTAGTGAATTATGTTATTTGCTTTTATTTAAACATTGATAGGTTAAAATCTGCTCGCGATGTTGTATCAAGAACAGGCCATTCTTTGGCTCTGGGCTGTCTCCATCGGTATGTTGGTGGAATAGGTTCTGGACAGCATCTGAAAACTAGTGTCAGTATTCTTCTGGCTTTGGCACAAGATGGAACCTCTCCTGAAGTCCAGGTAAAAAACACAATCACCACAAAACTACTTTAAAATGCTCAGGATTAAAACTAAAAATTAAATTACTTGTTCAGATGTTCTTTAATAGAGATTGTGACATGTAAGCCAAATCATATGGATGTAGCGTGTGCCAGGGAGCGTGAAGAAAGCAGAACTTCCCTTATAAACTCTTACAGTATAGAATCCCAAATATGTACTGCAGTTAAAATGCAACCTTGCTGCTAGTTAGGGAGGCAGTTGCAAGTGGTCACGTTATTTCAGACTGAGGAGTGTCAGTGTCTGCTTGTCAGCTGAGCCAGAGCAATTCACTGTGGGCATATGCCTAGCTGACTGTAATTGTAAAGAGAAATGTGGTAGTTGTACCTTAGCTGCCTAAACTGAAGTTTTTAATAACTGGCTAATGGTTAACATGTGAACAGTTACTGGAGTCTCAGGTGATGAGCAGTAGTTTTCTTTGCCAAGTAATTTCTCTATATGTGACACTGTGAACACAGTGTGGCAGTACATCATCTTTGAGGGGGTTATATTATGACAAATCTGTTACAAGCTAACTGCAGTTAGGGGCCAGGAGGGGAACTAGAAGGATCCAAGTCCAAGACAATGGAAAGGGTGGGGAAGGGTTTCTGTCTTGTATGGACTGTGACATGTGGAGTCTCACCAGAGGACAACTTGACTGCTGAATGTTGCTGGTAGAGAAAAAAGGGGGCCAAGCATGCTGCTGAAAGAGCAGTGCCTTTGGAGTTGCCAAACATGTATAAACATTGCGCAGTTCAGAAGGTTTCCTAAGTTGAAAATACTTGGAAATTGGGAGAATACGCTGCCTTTACTCTCCCTGGAGAAATTTGAAGGGTCAGTCTCTTAGTCTGTCTTTGCTCTCCCTTAAGCATCTTTTTGTGGCTGCTGCTGTAAGAAGAGGGCTAGATGGACCGGCACATCTGTCTTTACAGTAAGAAGCTGAATATTAGAGGGAAAAATGCTGATTTTTTTTTTTTTTTCCCCTCCAGCAATGAAATCTATCAAAGCACTAGCATAAAAGAATTACTTGGGTGAGGGAAGGGAGAGAAACTTTTTTTGAGTATAAGCAAGTGTCTTGTCTGTAATTGTTGTTCTTCAAAGATTATGGTGTAATTGCATGATATAACAGGTAATTTTTTGTCTGTCTTTTCACAAGTTACTGCAAGGAAACGATTATCTGGAATAGTGACTAACTATTATCCTTTAGCAGCTGGAGGTTGTATGCCACCCATGAGTAGGTGGCAGTTTATACCCACAGATTGAGAAGCTGAAGCCCCCGGTAACTACAGAATCATCCTTCCACCTTGGTTTAAGTTGTTAACTTGATAGAACATGGAATAGAGTACCTTCTAACTTCTTTTTGTCCAGGCAATAAAAAAAATAATCAAGCTTATCACTTGGGGACACAAGCCTAGTTTTGTTTGGAGATAATGTTTAAAAAATAATTATCTATAAATACAACTTAAAGTCTCTTAAATTTCCTTAGTTTATTTAAGGTAAGACAGAGTTCAGTTTGCATGTGTAACTTCATGTATGAATAAGTAATTTTGAGGCATGTGATTGTGTACCATTAATTTAAAAAGCAAAAAGGAAACTGTTACTGCTTTATGAAAAAAATGGGAAATATAAAGGGGAAGCCTAGGTGGAACTTGCATACCTACCTTATTTTCTGTTGAGAGTATGACACCAGGCCACTGTAAAAAGCTAAGCTTTTAAACCTCAGCCCTCAGTAGATCAGTGATACACAGAAACTGTATGGGAATACAAGTAATAGAAATTTGCAGGAATTAAAGGATAAGCTGTAATGTGCTACCATGTGGTTAGGACTGTAGAAGGAGTTATGTGACTGCTAGTGCTAATGGTATTTGGGTTGTGTCAGAGAGGATTAAAAAGGAGAAGCTTTAAAGACAGGTTTTCTAGCTCGTTCCGAAGAGTCCAGCTTTGTAACTGTAATACGCTTTTAACTTAAGTCTTTTCAGTGTAATTGTGTCATGTATTTAATGATAGAAAATTCTGAAATAAGATAATTTAGTAGGATATTACGGAGAGATAGCTAATGTTTTTAGGTCTGTTAGGGGAATTTATTTCCTGTTAAACGTCAGTGACCAAAAAGACTGTCCCTGCACGCACTTCTTGCTTTGACAATTACAATCAATTATTTTGCTGTTTTGTTATTTACTTACCTTGTGACTGAAATAGGTTGATCTTTCACCTTTTTTTTTTTTTTTTTTTTTTCTTCACCCCTCATCCCGCTGACTGGGAACGTCACTGCTTTCTTCTCTTGCACCCTCTAATATGAAAATGAGAAAATGCATGTGAACCTTTCAGCTTCTTATGAAAACCAGTTTCTACTGGAATGTAAAAGGTGCCCCCCTCCACCCCGAGGACTTTGTCAGCTGCCCATTTCAGACTCTACATCCAGTTTTACAATGGAATGATTCCCCTGTGTCTCGTGTCTTAAGAGTCACTCTTCTTTTTTCCTTTTTTTTTTTTTTAAATGGATGTGTTATTTGTGTTTGTATTTTTCTTCCTCAAAGTGCTCAAGCATTTTTTGCTCAAATTCTTTGTCATCTTCATCTTCATTATCCCCAAAACTGCTGACAGCCAAAGAGTATGCTAGAGATGTTTAAACTCCCTGGTGACTGCTTGAGTTTCCGAGATGTTTGAAATGCTTCTGGAGTCAGTAGCTAACTGGACATGTTTAAGCAAGGATGTACAGAGCTAGGCTCCGTCTGCATACAAAATTGTTTAATTTTCCTAAATGTATTGCTGAAAAATATTCCTTTGCTTTTTTTGATAGACCTGGTCACTCCATTCACTTGCCTTGATAGTAGATTCTAGCGGACCAATGTATCGTGGATATGTGGAGCCAACGCTTTCTCTAGTTCTTACTCTGCTCTTAACTGTTCCACCATCGCATACAGAAGTACATCAATGCTTAGGTCGATGTCTTGGAGCTATAATAACTACTGTTGGGCCTGAGCTGCAAGGTTAGTGGGAGTTTGAAGAGGAAAAAAAATCTAACTGGTATAAAGATAATATATTGCAATCTTAAATGGAAGAAAATAAATTTTTGTTCGTTGCAGGTGGGTGTGGGGGGACGTTGACAAATTCAGTTACAGTCCTGCACACAGCCTCACTTGTCCTACTTATGACTGCTTGGGGCTTTTTGATTGCAGTTTGAGATTTGTATAAAGAAGTTGCAGTGATGGATGGTGTTCTGGCTAATGGCAAATTTGCATGGTAGGTAAAAGATGAAAAACACCCTTGCTGCATTTTTTGCCGTGTGTATTTTTGTGTACAGGTGGGGCAAGACGCAAGATTTCGTTCTCTGCTCTTTCAACATGTGTTGATTTTATTTTTAAATGGTGGCAAGGGCTTAAGTTTGACATAATTGATAATATTGTGCACTATAACTCACTTCCACTCGTTCTTGATATTCTTAGATCACTGTACCTGACGGTAGAGAATAAGATCTTGTCATGCCAACACTATATCTGAAATTCTGTGTCTCAGATGGCAAAAACATGGATTTGTAACTTAGACTAACTGTGATTTTTAGGAATATTTAAAGGATGGTCTTCGATGCAGTGCCAGAGAGCCAGCCACTAGTGAAATTTTAACTCTAAATAACAGGACTTAAATTTCTAGTTATGAAAAATTTATAGATGGTTTAATTGAACTTGTGTATCTGCTTGCTGTGTGTTAACCTTTTGATCTGGTGTGCCATTAGCTTTTTAAATAAACAACAACTCATGTAGAATGTCTCTGAAGGTTACATTTTTCTACAATTCAAGACTGTGTATAAACCTGATGCATGTTAATTCTCAAAATACAGACTGGGAATATTTTTCAAATTAAATACTGTTCTTTCGAATGCTTGTCCTATTAGAGCAGTGCAACTCAGATAATAGAGCTAACTAAAATCACCTGCATACGTGTATGCTAGCTTAAGTGCTATCTGATATTTCAGGAAATGGTTCCGTGCTTGAAATGTTGCCCATATGTATAGAATGAAAGAAACTTCCAAAATCTAAATTCAGATAATTTTACTGGTTTCATGTCCTGGGAATGTATTTTCAAAATATTTCTGACTGTGATCCAGAATTTCATTTGGACAGGACATTGTTTAACCGAGCTGAAAAAGAGATACTGAAACACTCCAGTGTTTCTTTGAAGTTGTGTGGATACTAATATGCAGTAGGAGTTCAGAAGAGTTGCATGTTACTCTGTGAACTTTGAAGCATTAAAAATTCTTGTTTCTCAAAGGTTTAAAGTATACAGTTGTCATACAAAAATTTTGCTGTGTTGAGGAAATTGTATTACATCATTAGGTAATGGAGCTACAATTTCAACAATCCGTTCTTCCTGTTTGGTGGGCTGTGCAATCACACAAGACCATTCAGACTCGCTTGTTCAGGCAGCTGCCATATCCTGCCTTCAGCAGCTTCACATGTTTGCACCACGGCACGTCAACCTGTCCAGTCTGGTTCCCAGTCTTTGTGTGAGTACAAAATGCATCCCTTTTGTTCCTCAAAATTTTATGTACATGCTTAGCAGAGGACAGGAGTAGCACTTGGCAAGATGTCAAGGATACCCGTATGTAATAAGCAAGCCACATTTGCAAAAACACTGGAGTGCGATAAAATGATGTCTGTCCCCAAGCCATTTTAGATCTTTTCAGAATGCTGCCCAAATTGCAGTCATAGGGTCTGATTCTCTTTCACCCTAGATAGCACAAGATAGCAAGCACTTACATGTAATATGACTGAGCAAAAAGATGCTGAAATGTTCTGTTTCCTCCAACTGATTGCATGCATAAAGGGAAGTGAGTGAGTTGGGGAAAGGTAGGAGATTTTGGATTTATTTCACCACTGTCAGCATAGTAGATGCTGACATTCAAATTCTTGTGCTGCTACTGTTAGCGTTGCTTTCTCCCTCCGTTAGCGTTCTGTCAGCAAAACCTGGCTTAAGCCTGCAAGTCAGGCAGAGGCTGGAACCTAAACCATGCCAAATACAACTATAAGAGGAAAGGTGGTATGTGTGGGTGCGTGTTTTAGTGTGGGGTTTTTTTATTATTACTATTTTTAAAATTATTTTTTAGAGCGTTCAGCAGTCCCAATACTGAGAAATTTGAAAAGCTTCTCCCTAATGTCTGTTGGATGCTTTGCAAAGTTCTTTGTGTCATTCTTTGTGGAACTTGTGGTTCTGTGTAACCTGAAGGAGTCTGATCCTACTTAGGTCAACATTGGAACTTTTTCTTAGTCTGCCATCCAGACTTTCCCTAGTGCATCCTCTCATTGGTACACGCTTCTTCCCCCCCACTCACCCTTGCTTCTCCCCTACTCTCTGGAGCACTCCTGGGAGTGCAGTGTGTTCCCAGAAACTGTCACTTATCCTTCCATAAAATTTTGCATGAAAGGGGTGCAATGTACCCAAAAGTAGGTAGGCCCTTTTATATGAATACTACGCGCAAAATGACAAACAATCCCTGGAGCCATTTACTCTGTAAGTACCAGTGGGTAATATTACAGACTATGTAATACATACAGGAATGACAGTTTTGAAAACTTTTGCCAGGGTTTTCTGCTGTCTCTTTGCTGTTCCTTTATGGTCCTCTGCTAAACAAAAACTATTTACCTTCTCTCTTCTCATATTCCTTACTTCCAAGTCATACTTAGTTTGGTAAGTTTTCCTCTGAATTGTCTTGTGCGTTTCTTTAGGCTGCAAATACACAGATACATAGGCAAGATCTGCCTTACTTGCCCCATTAGCAAACTTCACTGCTTTCTAACTCACTTTTGAATAGAATTAGTGCCAGGTACCAAAATTAAACCACACAGTTCCACAATCTATTTCCATTGCTGCTTCCTGCATTGGCTTCATAACCACTAGCTGTTGTTTTGTAATGTAAGATGTGGAATACTCTTTCCATTAATTAAATCCCCCAAATGTTCTGTGTTCTAGTTCCATTACAATGACCTCAGTGTGATATTTGGAGGTTCTTTAAAGCCTGCTTGTTTTTTCAGGACTAAAATCTAGTATATTCATCTGTGGAAGAAAGATCTACTGTTAAAATGCTTTATAAACTATACAGCCCTTTCATTTAGGAAAGCAATTTCCATCCACATAATAACCTAATACTGAAAAAGCAAATGTGCATTTGGTTTATTAAAAACAAATTCCCCGGGGTAAATAAAGAATCAGAGTTTCTTAAAGAGCACTCTTCATCTCTTCCACTGTGGAAAAACATACAGTTCTGTGCAGCTCCTTCCTCAGGAAAATAAGGACCATGCACAATTCTTGCATAAGAAAAATATTTGCTTGTACTTGAGGTGATTCAAAAGGAATTAGAAGGCAGTGTTGGTCAGCAAAGAAATCTGAAGCTGTCATATTGAGAGGCACTTATAAAAACTTAGGCTGTAAATCCCATTACAAGTTTGAAATAAAAATTTTTATGATAGCTGTCATGTGTGGTGCAGCTGATGATGGCATTTTGTTTAGAAGAATGTGATTTACAGCTATAGCAGAATATGAGGTGGGGTAATACTGAAGAGTGTAACAGATTGGAAAGTAGAATTAGTCTAAAATCATACTGTCACTGTAGTTCCAGTATTTAAGCTCTTACCTCTTTAACCAGGTAACTGTCAGCTCTGTATGTGTCAGCTTTATTTTCACATTTGTACATTATAAAAAGTGCGTACTTCTGAACTCTTGAGGTCTTGTAAAGAGACTGGTACCCAACAGCTCACACGTGGGCATATAATTGAAAAGTAGAATGTTGTTAGTCCTTAGCAGTGCTAATTGATTGATATGGGGGTGCAGCAGTTCACTCACCTGTAATGGTTCTGATTTTAGGTTCATTTGTGCAGCTCCCACTTGCTGCTTCGCCGGGCTGCAGTTGCATGTTTACGACAGCTTGCTCAGAGGGAAGCAGCAGAAGTGTGTGAATATGCCATGAGCTTAGCAAAAAATGCCGGGGACAAAGAAAACAGTGGTATCAGTAAGTATTTCTTTCATGGGGCCTTTTTGTAACAGTTCAGCGCATGTATGTGGGCATACGTATGATCTGCCTTCAGACGGGAAAAAAAACCCCAACAGTCCCTCCCAACAGCAAAACAAAAACCTAAACTGATCCCTTCCAGCTCCAATAACTTCTGACCGCACCACTGCTTACCTCTTGAATTTCACTTCTAATTTAACTTCTTGTAAAGTTCAGGCTAAAGCTTCTCCGCCCCATTAAGAGTGGCAATCAAACTAGGGAACACAGTATATACAGTGGAAACATTTTGCAGGTTTTTTTCTGGTATTTTAGGTCTTGCTCTTTTGAGAATTGACTTAGTTATTTGCATTTTGACTGAGATACCTGGTTGTGTTACTTATTCTGTTAGCAGCATGTCTTGCTAGCCTGTGGACTTCACTGGCTGTTTCACTTGTTACATGTAGCATTTTATTCTGAAAATAGGAGGCTCAACTGTGTTGATCAGCACAGTCTTCATAGCAACATTGTGAGCTGACTAGTATTAAATCACACCAGTTAAGCCTGTCTCTGGTAAGATTCTTTAGAGTCCAGTACTATTAGGTGTTTTTACAAATTCATGGGGTATGTACCTTGAAGACAGATAATTTTTTTTTTTTAAGCAATACTAGGTGGTGTCATTTGCCTTGCAGAAAATAAATTAAATGAATTGCTGTATAAAAATCTTTCTAGTGTTAATTCAGAAGAAAATCAGTAATTTTGCTGTATCATTGCCTGAACTATACACACACAAATACACAATGTCCAGTTCTTGTCTGTTATTCCAAATTTTAAAACTGAGTTACTGATTTCAGAAAAGACTTCTTATCATTTTGCAGATATGAATCCTTTTGCACCAGGAGCTGGTTCTCGGCGAGATGCTCATTCTCGACATCAGGGGGTTAATATAACAGAGACAGGCCTCGAAGGTGTCCTTTTTGGAATGTTGGATCGGGAGACTGATCGGAAGTTGTGCTCAGATATCCACGATACTCTGGGACATATGCTTTCATCGCTCGCAGTAGAAAACCTTTCTCACTGGTTAATGCTTTGTAAGGATGTCCTTGCAGCTTCCAGTGGTAAGTGTTCTACAGTGTTCACAAAACAACATTATGTCCTTAGTATTAGCATCTTCTGGTGATATTTGTTTGGAGCTTGTCTTTTATCCTAGTTAAGACATAGCTTGTGTTCTCTATAGAACTTTTATTATAGTGCATTAAAACTTGCTTAGAAAAAAGAAATCATCAATGTTATGTTAAGATTAAAAATTTAGCTGCCTTTAAAGCAGGATTTTCAGTGGAGAAGCAGTGTGATTATTACTGACATTTCAGTATCTTAGTGAAAACAGACGTATTCTTTTTAGCCTTTACACATCAGGACCATACAGAAGGAAGAGCACTGTACACACACTCAGCTTTCTTTTATGAGGTTTTGCGAGTAACTGATGTGATGATGGGTTACCATGGTGATGAAACTTTTGCTTGTTGTTCAGCTTTGCAGGCTTGTTTGCAAAGATCTTGTCCTCTGAGACCTTATTCCTGTTTTTCAGCTTGTAGGATGGTTGTGACGCAGATTCTGCTCATTTCCCTTGCATTTATACTTGTTTGTTGGCATACTGTGAGTTCATCCTGAAGCTCGTGCTAAATGTTGTCAGCTTTGCCTTTACTGATGAGTAATGCCACCACTGATTTTTTTTTTTTTTGCAATGCAGTTACCATATATCTGCCCAGTGAGAAAGACCTTGTTTCCTGACTTTGAAGTTGGCATCTCCTTTTCTTATTTCATGTGGGATGGGTTTAAAAGTTTTTAATATGGTTGTCCAATCTCTTATTTATTTATTAGTAGGTGAAATAGTCTCGGAGAGAACCATATTTAAATAAATTTCTCTCAGCTGTACTTTAATAAGCTAGCAACTTCATTTTGAACTCCTTTGATCCAACTAACTGGCACATGAACAAAATCTAGTTTGCTTTTTAAGCAGAGATTTACAAAACAGCAACATAGGTCCTGGATGCCTTCTCAAAACACTCTTCTTGTGAATTGGCTTTATCCGTGTTTGAGCTGCCATAGCCTCTTTCTTTATTGAATGTCTTGGCTCTTCAACTGCTTAAATTTAGACTTTCTAAGAAGCATGCCTTAGTTGAGGTGGGTTACCCTTGCAATAATTTCTTCTCATTCTCCTCTAATTATTGCCAGAGTAATTTTTGTCAGTATCGTGGCATTTTGCTAATTTAGACTTGCCATTGAGATCTTATGTTCTCATTTCTGAACAGCAGAAGTGTATATGCATGTTTGGCGAGTTGCTTTTTGTCCCTGTTTGGATTTGGTTTTTCTAATGTGATCCCTGAAGTTTTTTTATTTTCTGAAATGAAGTCTCACAGCCACACTTAGAGAAAATAATTTTTGAATGTTAAGCACACTTGTGGGTGCCATAAACTGCCTACCTGGCTGCACATCTCTCCCGTGGCATGGAACTTGATAGGTTTGTTTCAGTTCAACATGCACTCTAGCTTTTACTTGAAATAGGAGCTGAATAGTTCAAAGCCAAGCTGATTCTTTGATTCTGAGCCTGCTGATCTCCCTACCCTGTTTATTGGTTTATTTATTGGTTAATTTTCAAAGGTGAGAAGTTTAGATACGGGATTCAGTTATAGTTGGTATCTGTGGAGAATTAACATTACAGGAATTTATTTCATATCATTTAAGCCAAATAAAGGGTAATATAGCCCAGATTAGAAGCGAAAAACATTTCTTCTACTGATATTCCTATGCCTTTCTACATGTTTCAAATGCTGTTTCCAAAGAAGAATTAATCCGAGCGTAAGGAAAGGCTTGAATGTATCCTTAGAGGTCTTCTGTGGATTGTAACAGTGGGATTTTTTTTTTTTTATTGTTGTAGATATGAGCACTGCTGCTCCCCTGGGAGGAGGGAAGGATGAGGAATCGGAGAAGAAGGATGAGATGGATGATGACACAATGTTTACCACCTTGGGTGAAGAGGATAAATCCAAGCCTTCTGTAGCACCTCGTTGGGCAACTCGTGTGTTTGCAGCAGATTGTCTGTGTCGGGTTATCATGCTGTGTGAGAATGCGAACAAGGCACACTTCGATCTGGCACTGGCTCGTTCGGCCAGACTTAAAAACCCAAAAAGTAATTACAGAATGTGCATGTTTTGTTTTTTATCTTTGACACCTCTTTACATCTTAAGATTACACAACCAAGGAAAAAAAATAAGCAGTTATCCTTTCATTCAAATGGTTAAAACAAAGGAGATGGCCAGCAAAAGGCAATAAAGCTGTAGTTGTATAACCACTGTAGTTACTGTACCATGAACACAAAGAATGAGATTTGTTGGAGGATATAAACTCTGACAGACTGATCTATTTGGAAAAAAAACCCCTTAGATTTGCAAACCTTTTCTCCAGCCTGAAATAGAAGCAGTAAACATCTAGCTAAGGGTGAGCTGGGAATAGTTTCTCTGAGTTTAACATAATTAATTAGACTTCAGAGATTATTTTAGCATCTTCAGACCAAAGGGATGCCAGGAAAAAAAAAGATATAAGGCCAGTTAATTATTGTTGTGGCATTGGTTGTAGAGCGAGGGATGTAGGAGGGGGAGTTATAGTAAGACATGGACCCAGCTGCTTTATGAAATTCATTCTTTTGGTATCCATGAGAGTGATGAATATTAGTTTTAAGGCTCATGTTTTGAAGATACTTTTATGAGTTAGAGGATCAAAATTGAGACGTCAGAGGTGACATAGTTGTTTTGTGAAGAAACATTTTTCTAACAGTAGGAGGTTGGGAGTTGTGTGGGAGTTGTCTGTGTGTGTTGGTTCTGGTGCAGTGTTTGCTTTCACCTGTGTAGCGCTCATGAGGACATTTGTGTATGTAGGATGAATATCATGAGCATCCTAGAATGCACGGGATTAATGGATTTTAGTGAGGGTGTCTGTTATGGTATGGAGATTTATCGAGTCTTTGCTGGTGTTGCTTTGATGCAGTCTGATTCCAGCACTATGCATTGGTTTTGTGAGAATCTTGTTTCTGACTTGATTTGAGGCTGAGGTCGCTGTTTGAAGACTAAGAGGGAAGACTTTTGGGACACTTCATTTTGAGATGGCTGTGTATTATAGAGAAAATCATGACATAACTGCTGCTTATAGGATCCTGCAGAGGATTGCATACAGTAATCCTGATAATTTATATCGCTGAATTTATTTAAAGTGAACTTGATGTGTTTGGTATCATTGTAAAAAGGAAAACTCAGCAAGCTTCTACCCAACTTCAACTCCCAAAATATTTAGATTTTACTAGCTTCTGTGATGGTCTGGAAAATACTTTACCACTTCATAGTTTTTAAGTGATCTCCAGTCTTTCTTTACTGACATGCATCTGAAAAGCTTCAGCTACAAAATAAACTTTTCTTTTTTACCTTAAGACTTGAAAATACATAGCGCTTTTGTAATTTGTGGGTTGTCTTAGTCACCCTGAGTGTTATGTTTTAAAATAATTTATTTTTGTATTAGTTGCACAACATCTGATAATTTCAGATTGAGAGTAAGGAAAGAAATAAAATTAATAAAAATGGAGAAGAATAATCCTTTCAGAAATGTTATTGAGTTATGTCTTGTTCTTTCTGCATGTTGTCTGCTGCTTGCTTACAGCCTCAGATTTGGCTTTTGGCAGCAGAACTGGAGGCATACTTAGTTTTTAGGTGTTTAAATTTGACAAGGTTTTCCTTTATCAGCAGGGGTCAGTATAAGCATAGGACTTGAATAGGGATTGCCTTGAAGATTATTTTTTTTTTATTTTTTTTTTTTTTAAGGTTTGGAGGGGCTTTTATTTTAATCACTAAAATTAGCTTTACTAAATATTCTAATCTCTTCTAGGCTACTCAGCCACATTTACATACTCTCTTCAGTGTAATTTCTGTATATCATGTATTTAATTTTGTTTCAGATTTGTGCTTAATTTTTAAGGTTATCTTAGGAATAAAAGCCCTTGTATCGCTTTAAGGGGGGTGTGAGAGGGAAGAAAGAAAAATAGGTTGCATTCTTTCCTGCCTTCTTCCATACCGTAAATGTGGACCTTTGAAAAAGAATAGGTAAAATTTGTACATGTCAATGAAGAAAATGTTACAAATATCTGTCATGTTATCGATCTTTTAAGTTACTAAATAGTTCTTTCTGTTTTATTCTAAGATGACTTTTTAGTACTCCATCTCTCTGACCTTATTCGAATGGCATTCATGGCTGCGACTGATCACAGCAACCAGTTACGAATGGCGGGTCTTCAAGCTCTTGAAGATATTATCAAGAAATTTGCATCTGTCCCTGAGCCAGAGTTTCCAGGCCACGTGATACTGGAGCAGTATCAGGCTAATGTGAGACCTCCTTTATAAGTTTAGGAAATTGTATATTTATGCCAATATGCCAGTATTAGCTTTGAGAACATTTTGTAATTTCATAAGGCCTGTGAAGAGATTTTTTGTGTGTGAAAATGTACTGAAGAGACTTCTATCTACCTCTTAAAAATTTATTTTTGTGTGTCTTCCTATTTGTTATAATTTACTAGCTGATGGAATGTAAACATTCAGTAGCTATTGATTCTTGAAAGTCAAGTATTACAAATTACATTTAATTTTTGGCAAGAGTGCCATTTCATTTGTAGAATTGGGAATTGGAAAATAATGCTGATTCAATTCCAGATTGAATCTAATAAATCTGTTTTCTTGGGAATTAATGAATATACTTCATTTAAGTGAAAACTAAAAAAGTAAAGGAATGGGAGGTGGGCAGTTGAAGATTTATTTTGGGATATTACTGCTTTACTTTGTTGTATAGTTTAACTCTTTCACATCCTTTGTCTTCACTGTATCTTCAAGATGTTTTCAAATACTTTTTAAAGGCAGGCTTTCATCCTTCTCACTTCCTGCCTTTTTCTTCTTCCTGCTGTAGTGCTGTAACCATTGCTTCTGTCTCTTTGACTTGGTTCCTTTTGTTTCTGAAAAATGCTGCCTTATAACAACTGCCTGAAAGGCCTTTTTTGTCAGGATTTGTCATTTTAGGAACTTGGTGCAAATCCAACCATAAACATTTGATTTTACATCGTTATTCTTTGGACATCGAAAAGTCATTCAATTCTTGAGCCTTAACATAAATTGTACCTGTAATACTTTAATGATTAAAAGGATACTCATTAACAGAAGAAAGATAATACCACATATTTGACAAAGGTACTTGAGGCTTAAAAAGGCAATAGGCAAGCAGGAAAAAAACCTAGTTTAGGACTTTGTTGCTATTGTTTAAAAAGTACTATTGCAAATGTCTGCTGGACAACAAGGATAAGTTGAGGATGTAACTATAATGCCAAAATTGGCAACCTTGTCTTGCTTGTTCTGTTTATGTGCCTGAGCCTCAAACAAGGTGACATGAAGACTGTTGTGTCACTATTGTTTTAGCTGGATTTTTTTTATTTTTCTTCCTACTAACAGGTTGGAGCTGCTCTGAGGCCAGCTTTTTCCCAAGATACACCGTCAGATATAACTGCAAAGGCCTGCCAGGTACAGAGGAAGATGTTCAAACAGTATAGGCCAAACTGATTTTCCTTCTTTTTGGAAGAAGGATGCAGAAGAGAAGTAGTAGCAAATGGCTGGAAAATTTTGTAAACCTAAGCCGTGATGTGTTTGCAACATCTTTTGAGTCTCCTGGCAATATATTTTGTTCCTCAGAAATACAAAAGTCCTCTTTGGGAGCTACATCAGAAACTATTTAGTCTTTCTTAAACTAATTATGTCTCCATGTCAGTTCTGCATTTGTTGCTAAAAGAAGAAAAAAAAAAAAAAAGAAAAAAGAAAAAAAACCCCTTGCTTAATGAGACCAATAATATACTTATTGAGGTGCCTTTCGGTCTGATCAAATTTACCTTAAAGACTAAACTTCCATTCAGATTAGTACACTGTTTTAGATTTTAGAAGCTCTGAGCATTCTCATTACAGTCATAGTAACAACCTCTCAGTGAAGATTCAGTGAAAGATTTTTTTTTTTGTGTGTTTTCTTGTGTATGATCTTGTGCTACTGTAGTTTAAATCGGCTATCAGCAACATGGCTGTAGCAGCATCTGGTATGTGGTTTATACAGCTAAATTACTACTGTAGCTTAAAACAGCCATTTAATTAGCTATGCAAACATCAGTTTTAATACGATAATTTTGTGTATGTGAGTTCTGTTTAGTAAATCTTGGTCCAGCAGGACTGTGATTTTGTGGTGGTGTTTTATACTCTTAATTTTCAGCAAAACTTGTAAGGATAGATCAAATACGGCATAATTTGGTATCTATACATAGGAAAGAATACGCTCATCTTACCTTACGGAAAGTTTCTATGCATTTAAAGCTAGATGAAGAGGCAGTTTGTGTGAAAACATGTAACGTTCTTTGTAACTTGTCAAAGTCTTTCCTATTCAACCAGTTTCAAAGTGGATGTGTGCTCTTACAGGATCAAACGGTTGGGGGTTAGGTTTGGATGTTTGAAGTTACGTGGACAGAGATGAGCTGCACTGAATGAGTTTGATTTGTTATAGTTTCATGTCATTACTGAAACAGCTGTTGGCTTGCCCAGCAAGAGGAGTGAAGCTGGTCTTAGTCCTACTGTGAATGAATTACAGATTTATGACAGATTTTCAGCAGCCTTGTCCTGTGCACCTTTGGGACACTTTCTCTGTGTCTGTGTTTACTTTACTTCAAATATGTCCATCATTCCCAATCATGAGAGGCCCTTCCCCCAAAGGCTTTCATGGAACTGGTTCTTAAAAGCAAAATAAATCGGAGATAGGACAAAAATGCCATGAAAAAAAAGTTTGTAAAACCT